CTGACCATTTTAACTTATAAATGTAAGTAAACTGACATGAAAATGACCCATACAGAATGTGTTGTTTTAGTTTGTTGTTCAGTTGTAGGTAAAAGGAGGTTCAATGACTATTTAGCTTCTATAATATATAAAAACTGTAGATAAAATGTTTCTCTATTAGCAGGACATTAGAGAGGAGACGTGTAGAAGTGATTGATATAAAGACAGAGGACTTTAATGATAATCTCCATTATTAAAACTTTTTTTTTCACTTTCTAGCAATTATGCACATTTTGCATGTTAATTAAAAAATTATGGGGGTATTCTCCAATGAACTGGGTTGAGCCCTGGATCTTTACATACCCAGCCAATGTCCCTGTTCTTGTCTAGCCACCATTAGGCAGGACTAGATGAAGCAGATCCCAGCCTCAGGGAGGTGAGGAGATACCATCTCTGTGGACAAGTGCCCCACATTCACAAGACATTAGCTTTATCTCCATCAGGACTGTTGCTTTTGCAAGGACCCGAAGGAAGACAATGTGCAATTCGCAGCTGAACTCTATTGATGTTTCAATATTTCTACATTAAAATGTAAACAATGTCAAAAATGTATATTTAAAATCCATGCAGAGTGGAGTGGTACATGCAGGGTGCCCAAAGGCCAAATAGTCCCTGAAGAAAATATATTTTTTCAGATTTACAGCTATTTTACCGTCATTAACATTACATATAAGAACTCAGAAGATGTGTAGGATCACTTGTCAGAGCCTGTAATTTTCTCTACAATAGCCAATTGCACATCAAATCATTCTGAATTACTTTGTTCACATCTCAGCTACTGAATTACGTAGAAAAAAGTAAAAATCTCCTTTAAGTTTTTCTGGGATTGTTTGTGTTTTAATACTTGCAATGACAAGAGAACAGGATGCTCTGGAGGAGCCGCACATGAGCCTAAGGTCACCATGTCTAATGGCAAGTGTCAGCTGAGGGGTATAAAGCCACTCAGCACTGAGCTGTGGAGCAGTTGAACTGCATTCTGGTCCTTGGAGCATCAATCAATACCTTTAGGAATAAGTTTGAGTGGCGTTTGTGATCCAGAACTAACCGTCCAACATCACTGCTTGACCTCACTAGTGCTCCCACTGCTGAATGCAATCAAATCCTCACAGCAATGTTGTAACATTTAGTGTAAAGCCTTACCTGAAGAGTAGAGACAGTCACTGCAGCAAAGGGGGACAAACTCTTTTTTAATATTCTTGATTTTGGAAGAAACATTGGATGAAAGCTTTTGGCCATATAGTGTATATAATGAACATACGTCCAGTTAAAGTATTTCAAGTAAGACTGGGGACCTTAATATTAGGTCGGCCTTCCTTGATTCCAGAAAACCAGAAGGTTGCATCTCCTTTTCGTGGATCAAACTAGTTCTGGATGAAATTGTTCTGTGATTTTTGATTGTGTACAAAAGGGTACTACACTGCCACTGGGGTGGGACCCCTCTTGTCACTGGGGTAGTACCCTCAAGGCTATATCTTCAGTACCTTTAGTCAGGGAACGTACTTGTACCGTAATCCAGTGAAATTATTTTTATGATGTATTGACTCCACAAACCCTGTCTAGTCTCCAGGCTTTTTATTTTATTGTTTTGTTTCAAAGAATTAGGTTATGAGAAGATATAAATTTGTACCTCTTCACTGAGAAAAACTTATTTAAGTACACAGTTGGACTTTAAAACCACTGTTGTACTTGTGAGGATACAATTGCATTATTTGGACCTTGATGAACAAAAATGTACCAGCACAGAACCTTTTCTACCGCCAGTTCTGAAATGAGACTGACATAACAATGAAACGAAAACATTTTGTTGCGTGCACTTTACACAAATCCAATATGCATATTGGACATGTATCAGCTAATTCACTGTTCTTTGCGTAGCCAGTAATACTTTGAGTACAATGGTACAATCTGACAGAGCAGAGCTTCTGAGAAGAGGTTGATGTGTGGGAAACACAATAAGGGTTTAATTGAAAGCAGGAAGGACCCAAGAGCCTAGAGAAATAATAAAGGCACAGAGAAGATAAAGGATGGAACAGAGAGCTTTGGGATATTGCTATGGTGATAAAGAACCTGCCTCTGCTACCTACATGGTTAACAAAAAGAACAGCACCTCCTGGGAGCCGTGTACACTGATACAGAAGAAAGCACCTTTCATACACTGCTTCTTTCTAGGTTTTGCAGTTTCTTCAAATTCATACAAGTGAGCATCGGGACTTGTAGACTTGAAGAACAAAAGAGTGCATAGTAGTTTATTACTATAAATCATAAAACTTCTAATAACTGAACTGGAGATAGAAGGTGAGCATACAGTACTCTGCAAACATCAGAGACCATCCCTCATTATTTAGTTTCCAGTCAAAATGGCCATTAAGTACAAAGTCTTTTTCAGGAGATATTTCTAAGGAGATTAGATACAAATATGGATTGAGAAAGTCAAAGGAAAATAAGTGAAAAGACTGGAGCTTCCAAAACTAGAGCTCAAAAATGATTAAAAGCTACAGAGAAAATGTGCCTCCTAACAACCACATGGAAGACCTGGTAGACACCAAAACTGTCCCCATCAGATGAACAGCACTTAAAGCTTTCATCTTTGAGAGAGAGGAGAAAGTCAAGCTGCTTCAGATCTGAAAACATCCACAGGTGTTTCTGTCTATCCTTCCACTGTGAGAAGACAACTCAGCACTATGGGTCTGAAAGGATGTGTAGCTGTCAAGAAGCCTCATTGAGAAAAAGCAAAAGAAGAAAAGTTGCAAACCAAATAAAGAAGCTGCTGATTTTCTCAGAACAGTGGACTGACCACCCCAGAGTCCAGACCTCAACATCACTGAACATCACTGAACGTATTTGAGATTACTCGGATTGTGAGTAGCAGAAAATGCAAAACCAACTTCTAAGACTGAACTTCGGAGGTGTGGAAAAATATCCCCGCAGATTTCTTTTAAACTGAAAGTGTGTCTTCTGAAAATTACAGAAGTTGTAATAAAGACAAAGAGTGGACACGCTAAATATTAAAATATCTTATATTAGTGTTGGAAATCTTTTGTCATTTCTGTTAAACATATGTTTTCTTATTTTTCATTATGTAAAAAATGAATAACTTGTACTGAAAAATTTGTAATGTCCATCTTGCTTGGAAATTAAATAAATAAAGGGTGGTCTCTGACTTCTGCACAGTACCGTAGATAGGCATAGATATTTCTCTTAAAATGAAGTGGACAGATTCTCTTTTTGTGCCAGTTTAGTCCACTTTGAAGTAGCCTAATGGCCAAGTTGTATTGTCAGGCCTCCATACAAGTTTGGAAGGAAACACTAAGGTCTGATTTATGATCTTTCTGTTGACAATCCTTCGAGCTCCCTTGAACAGCAAGTGTCCTTTCTAAGCAGTCACTATGAGGTCACTTTAGTATTTTGATTTCTGTAATGGGACATCTTATAGGTTTTTTCTTTACACAGTGTTCTAAAAGCTTCACCTTTCTGCTTAATGCGTTCATTAGAATTATAAATCAGCCAAAGCTCTCAAACGTCTCCTGCCAGATGGCTATTTAGACAATAAACTGGTACAGGTCTTCTAGCCTACCATCTCAATCAGAATGCAGCCAGTAGTGTCCTCTGCAAACCCCAGTCATGACACATAGCATGGCTTGGACTCAAACCTGAATCTCATGAGGCCTGTTGTGAGTTTTACACAGTGGGTAGGCCTTTCTTTTCTTTGATTTAATATTTTATTTGATTTGATGACATAACAAGGTATGCATAACACTACAATTAGAATCATAGTGTACATACAGTACAAGAATTTATATGTCAAGAGGTCATACATCTCAACAATATATAACAATAAAAAAGTTAATAAACACAAAAATAAGGAAGTAAATAAAGTATACATTTTATAGCCATTTTTTTAACCATACATTTCATACATACACTGACAGTTACTATGGCTTTTATATGTTCTTCAATTTCACTAAGAAAAACATAAAAGACATTTTTTTTTGTCAGTAATCATTTATGTAAGTAGAACGTAGCTGTAACAGTTATTACATTTGCAACATATACTATACAGCCAAACTGCTGCCACAATGTTGAAAGCATATAATTGCCTGAGATGTCTTTGCTTGCCGTAGCATTAACACTACGCTTCACTGGAATTAAGGGTCCCAAACCCTGAAAAACAGCCCCAGCCCATTATCCCACCTCCACCAAACTTTACTGCTGGCACTATGCATTCTAGTAGTTAGTGTTCCCCTGGCATCCACCAAACCCTGATTCATCCATCAGACTGCTAGATAATGAAGAGTGATTCTTCACACCAGAGAACACGTTTCCACTGCTCCAGAGTTCAGGTGCGGCATGCTTTCCACCACTCCAGCTGCTCGGCCATGGAAACCCATTTCAACCTCCTCACACACAGTTTTTGTGTTAATGTTGCTTCCAGAGGCAATTTGGAACAGAAGATAGCTGATTGTTATGGTGTACTGTTTCATGACTGAGCTGTTGTTGCTCCTAGATGCTCCCTTTTCCCAAAAATTGAGATTTTTTTTGTGGATATGTGCTTAATTTTATATACCTCATAAACCCAGGTGTGGCTGAGACACCTGGAAGGGTGTCCACATACTTTTGGCCATAAAGTGCACATGGGCAGGCTGTGTGGAGAGATGCTGTTTTTTTTACTTTGTGCCACTGGGTGTCAGGATTGCACCACATGCAACACCACAACGCCAAACCCCTAAAAGTTTTGTGGAAAACATGATAATTTATCAGATTAATCAACATAATCAACTGATCAGTTTTCAAACTCCTCAGCCTTAACATGAGTGACCAGAAATCTTAAGGCAAAAACAGAGCGACACTGGAATAAAGTGAAACAGGTCTAATGCAGCGTAGCTCTTGGCTACGCTGCCCGTGCAGTGTCCATTACAGCGTGCGCTCCCCTTACAGTGAAGCTGCAGGGTCCGTGGTGAGGACGTCCCAGCGCGAATCTGCGCTTTAGGACCAAGAGGAACGCGAGCGCACCGCTATAAAGACGGCAGCCACGTTCAGGTCACGCACAGTGCGGTGCGCGGAGCTCACGCACCTCGGACGAAGCGTCCCAGAAACGCAGGAGGTGTGCATCTGAACCGCAGTGTGCACGAAGCCCGCGGAGCCCAGTGTCACAATGCAACAGCCCCTGCACTGTAGGCACGTCGTCGCAGGGAAGACGAAGCTTTCCAAGCCCTCGCTTCGGTGACTGACTTCTTGAAGACGCGGACAGTAAGCTGGACACTTTGGACTCTCGCATCCTCCTCTAGAATCTACCTGCCGAGGGATATAAGGCGCCAAAATACAGCTGTTCTGAACGTCAGTCAGGTCTGCTGGGGGGCTCATCGACTCATGCGTTCAGCTCGAAAGGTAAGTGGCAGTCTTACCAGTCAGATCACGAACTTGTACAGCAAATGAGCGATTGCACCAAGATGACATCGATGCATCTCAGCCTCCTGCAGCCTGTCAGCCTGGCTGGATTTGTTTGCGCCAAAAGAATAGACACCCTTTTGACACCCTTTTTTCTTTTGCTGTTTTAAGTGATGGCATTACCTGTTTACGCATAGTGTCCTGGTGGTCTGTGTGCTTCGAGGGTCTGTCGGTAAATCTAAATCTAAACTGGTATGTCATTTCTTTTTTATTCATAGAGGAATGTAGATTGCAGTACCATGGACAGCTCCTATTGCAAACCCAAAATTTGACACTAAAATGCACTAGAAACAAAGTGTCTGCTATTTGGATGCATTCAGTTCTGATCAAAGGGAGAAAATGAGCATATGTACATATTTATCTGCTTCAAGAGCTCTACCATTGTTGCCATTTACCAAAGTTATAAATCAAAATATTTACTGTGATCTGTTTATTTTCCTGGTAAATACTGTGCCGTTACATGTACGGTGGACTAAAATTATACATACATTATTGGCAACATGCCTCAGCCAATCAAGCATGTTTTATTATTAATAAAAATACCCCATTTCACAATGATGATGATAATAATAATAAAACAATCACATGGGCGATTGCATTTCTAATGCACCTCGAGCTCAGTGAGCAGCAGAGCTACTCAAATAATAGTAAGGGATGGTGATGTTTTAACAACCAGCACATGCAACAGAGAATTGTTGACAGCTTCTCTCCCTTCAGATAACAATAAGCCAGTCCAGAAACTCTGACAGTGTAAAATCCACAATGATGGAGATCAGACACCAGCACATCTGACATAAGCCAGTGATTACACTAAGTACTGCAGGTGTAAGCTGCTCATCTTTTGAGTCGCGCTAAATTGTCCTCTCACACTTTCGGCAAGGCTTAGAATACAAATGCTTTTCACATCTAAAGGCCAATTTCTTTTTCATTCGTTCCAGCCTTACAGCCTACATATAGACATCTGAACACAGTTGCTGTTAGCAACTACATCCACTTATGAGTCCTGCAAACATCTTCACCACATCATGTGAATGTGTGCCTTACAAGCTACCAAAGGAATCCGCTGTTCTGGCTCACACATTGGAGTCGGAGAACTATTTTTAGCCTTTCCTTGGCAAATACCGCTGAAATCCAACCTTCCAACTCTTTAGCCTTTCCAGTATTGAAGCAGCTAATTGGTCACAGGGCAGTGCAGAAGGAGCAAAGTCTGCTTTCAGTTGTCTTCACAGTAGAGTTGAATAGAAAGGGCCAATGACATTGTAACTGCAGTTTTCCCGGACAAGGCCGATGTTTCTGAATGTTCTTCCTAGCACTCAAACCCAGATCCAGTTAAGCTCTTAAGTGATGCTGAAGAAATGTGCATCTTCAGAAATATTTTTGGGGTTTTTATATATTATTAACAATATTTAATCTTAGCTGTGGGCCTCAGACTGGTATTCAAGATGCTGTAGACTCCAGAAGACAAATATTAGTAGTCATTTAGGTGGGCCTTCATACATCAGCCATCGATTCAAAGAAGGTAACATGACAAATAGAGCCTTTGGGGCTAAGGATTAATGGGGAATTCCACAGATGTTTAAAAAAAATTGCATTCAAATTTTAACATGTAAACAGTCATTCAGAGTGATTTGATGTGAAATGCTCTGTTCTAGAGAAACTTACACAGTCAGATTGTTACGCAGTGGTGATGACAGGAGGTTGTGATGTCTACAATGCAAATATAACCATTTTATTTACTATTGAAAATGACCAGGGAAACTAAATGTGTCTGATATATGTAAATCTGGAAAAATATGTTTTCTTTGGTGACTATTTTGCCTCACAATGACCTGCATGTTAAATTTTCAAATGCCTGGTTCCTATCACCACGACTGTGAACCATTCTGGCTTAATTATGCAGACATTTTGAAAAATCCGCCAAATTTCCCTTTAAGGCTAAAGATTTGGAATCACCTTTTCAGAGAGCACTAAACAAAAACACACGGTATCCATTAGGATCCTCAGCAATGGATCATCTCTCGTCTTGGACAAAGGGTTTTCCTGCTGAACTTAGCAGAAAAGAGTGAGTAAATTGCTGGGAACTTGGCCGTGTTTTAGATAATTCAGTGGTGCAGAGGCAGGAATCAATGGCTCAGGATGCATGACAGTGTAGGCTGCACAGGCCGTATTTGCATAACTGAAAAATAATCCATAGGTCTGTTAGGAGTTCTGAACAGCAAATGGAGGAGGATGACTGGGCCAGGGCTTTGATAATGGCTTTGTTAGTTGTTTTTTCAAAAGGCCGGCTATTAGAGTAGCAAAAAACAAGTCATTTGTTTTTATGACAGCGTTAGTATTTACAAACTGGATTATTTAGGCAGGGAATCAGATGTAGGTATAAAGGTTTTTTCGTTTGCATGTTTTTTTTGCTATAGAGCATGTGAAAAATGGACCATCTGATATTAAGCCTGCATATCATTATAGCAGTGTTAAATTGTATACTGATGCACCTTACAGAAAAACGCTAACATCATGTGACACCCACCAGCAAAGACATTCATATAGCAGGCTATCATAGCTGCACAATCATCAATCATTATGTTGCATCTTCCTAATTGCAATCATCAGTCATTGTGTCCTCTTAATTGGTGACAGTATTTTTGCTGTTGAACTTTTTTTTAAATACAGCAAAAATAAACATAGTATTTGCACACTGCGCATTACTCATCGCTGACAGTAAATTTGAAAGTCAAATATCTCTGCTCTGAGCATGTCATACAGACTCCTCACTCCTTTGATAAAGATCTAGCTTTCTCAGAATAGCTGCCTTGAAGTGCAGGATGTATGTGGTGATTTTGCACTCCTGCTGGTGGTGTTGTTTTGTGATGAGACAAGACTTCTGGCTATGACATAATCATTTTGTGAGAAAACGGGATAAGCGTCCTAGCAATCAACCCTTAGTTGATGCAGATATCAGAGGTGATATCAAAAACACACTGTAATTTACAAACCTCAGTTACAAAAACAGCTTGGGATATTATGTGAGATGCTAATAAAAACAGAAACAGTGATGAGTAAATTCTGTTTGACCTGTATTAAATTGTACAAAAACATGATAGTTTTACCTTAATGACGTTATTGTATTTATAAATATGCGCTCAATCCAAATTTGATGCCTCGAGCATGTTTCAAAAAAAGCATGTTTACTACTGCATTGCATCACCTTTTATTTTAGCAGCACTTAGTAATCGTTTGCAGATCAAAAACACCAAATGTTCCAGTTTTGAAAGTGTATTTTTTTCATTTCTTCCATTATACAGTTTCTATTCATTGTTGTATTTTGCACTTCACAATGCACCATGTTTTCAGTGGGAGACAGTTCTATACTTCAGGCAGGCCAGTTTCGCACCCACATGCTCTGATTAGGAAGCCATGCTGTAGCAACATGTGCAGAATGTGGCTTGGTGCTGTCATGTTGAAGTAAGCATGGACGTCCCTGAAAAAGACGTCGTCTAGAAGGCAGCCCTGTGCTGTTTTCATTTTAACACAGCTCAGTGTGGATTTACAAATCACTGCTTTCACACTTGTAGCTCATTGAAGCAAGCAGAGAAATTCTGTGGATGCTGATTCTAAACATTTGATCAAAACATTTTTGTCTGAAAGTAAAGGAGGAGAAGATATTTTATGATTTAAATCAGATGAAAAGCTGTCATTGTACATATAGTGTTATATGTGGATATTTTTCCACGTTTTTTCCCATTGAAATCAGGAGAAAAAAGTCGTAAGTTTAGATGCAGACCTACTGATACAGAATAAAATGTAAATGTAATTCCTTACCTACACTCTTAAAAAAAGACGCCACAAATTGTTCTTTGAGCAAAGATATAGAAGAATCAGGTTTGGGTTCCCTGAAGAGGTATGTTTGAAAAAAATGAATAATTTTCACATAATGTTGGGTTCTACACCAATTTAAGGGTTCTTTCTAGAACCTTTACATTATGTGGAGGTTCTTTAACCTTGAACCTTTTCACAGGTTTTTCACATATATCTCATTTACAAAAATGGTTCTCTAAATAACAATTTTAACTAGATTTTTAAGATCTAACTGTGTAATTAGTCATGTAATTGTGTAATTATATTCATGTTGCATGGTGAAATGATGATCATAACTCAAATTCTAAAGCACTCATATGCACATATTTGATGTTTCCAACTTTACATATAAACATCTCATACAGGCAGTCTGAGTGTGCTGCTGCTACTGAGCATTGTGCATTTATAAGTAATTCACATGCAAGTTCTGAGGACTTAAGAACAAATTTGGAATTAAATGTAAGTAGTTATAGTTTAGAAATGAAGCCCCAGAATTCTGAGAGTTAAGTGCACTTTAGAAGTAAAATGAAAACATGCATCAGTAATGCTTTCGTGTACAGTACCATGTATTCTAGGTATTAACCAAGTACGTGTGAGGTACAAACTCCAAAGTACTCATTATTTTGGGAAAGATGATGGAAACTTCCAAGGCGCTCTTACTAAATTACACTGAAATGCATAACAGGTTCTAGGGGTTCTTAACTGTGTAAGTGTGGGATTCAAACTCCATATTACTTTTCAATAATAAGTAATAATAAGTAATAATATTGGGTAAAAGGTTCCAGGTGGTTAGTAGATGTAAGAGGATTGTACACAAATAAGGTACAGAGAGTTTTATGTAAAATATACTCATCTGTTATCTATAAATAACACAAAAGCAATGATTCTGAATGCAGTCAGTTCAGTGTTGTCTAGCTAGACTGTCTTGGCTAGACCGTACTTTGGAGTTTGTACCAAATCACTAACTCAGTGAATATTTAGAGCCTGTTGGGCATTTCCATGTAATTTAGTTAGACTGTCTTGATTGTTAATTCCGTGAACCTAGGGAACTGTTAAAGAAACCACTGCCAACATTTGCTTTGATGTCTTGTAGGAGAGATCACGGCGATGCTTCCACCTCCTGCGTCCTCAGCTTCACTCATGAGGGAAACCAGCGACGGGGCCGAGACCTTCCCCAGCGTCTGCACAAACTAGGCAAAATGGACACAGGTCCCCGATCAGAGGAGGAGAAGGACCCTCCTGCTCAGCGGAAGCCGTCCTCGTCAGCAGACAGCGCGGATGTGGGACCCGAGAGCTGCAAACGCAACGGCCTGATCAACACCCGTGGCATGATGGTGGAGACCAAGGAAGGCCTGGTGTCGGTGTACTCCGCCCCGCAGTACCAGGGCCATGTAGTGGTCAATCTCTCGCCCCAGCAGGCGGGTCAGGACAGGAAACGGGACAGGAGTCAGTGGACGCCACCCACAGCTGCTCAACCCCAGTGCTCTGCCCCAGGCTGTGGACCCCTTCTACAGGCCCAACCTCATCCTGTACCCGGAGGGTGTGCTGAGGGCATGGGGGGAGGGAGGGAGAGTGCTGTGAAACCACCTTCATCGAGGACATGGCTCCATCCTCGGCCACCGCTACCGTCACCAAAGACGGAATCGTATTCACCGATAGCAAGTTCCTGGACTTGTCTATGGATGACGCCAAGATTCAGACGCTCTCCTACGATGTGGACGATGATGATGACTTTCAAGAGCTGGAGGTAAGATTCATTTAACATTGACAATGTGGCAATCCTCAGTCCCAGAAACCTTACATCTCAAACCTAATGTCTCATTGGGGATACATTTTGAGATTTTGTCGATGTGCCCTTTAAAGAGGAATTCCACTGAATTTTTGGTGTTTCAGCATAGTTTAATGGTTGAGATGTTAACAAAGTCACTTAGAGTGGTTCCAAGAGAAATAGTTAATTGTTGAGAAACTTACTGACTCATTTCTTTACAGTGGTGGTGATAGGAACCAGGTGTACAATGCCTTCAACACAAATATAGTCGTTCTATTTACTATCCATAACCACCCATGAATGTCTCAGGTACCAGGCAGTGTATTCGTAACTATTTTGTGCAATAATGCTTTGTGAGGGAGCTTTTAGAGGCATCAAACTCTTTGGCTGTCTGGTTCCTATCACCACCACTCTGATTCGGTGTGTTTCTCTAGAATGGAACATTCCACCTCAAACCGCTCAGAATGACTCTGCTTATATCTTCACCATTTAATTATGCAGAGATTTTGAAAAATTGATGGAATTTCCCTTCAAGTCATGAAAAACTGCTGGCGTGAGGCCCACGCTGGGTATAAAGAAGTATGATTCTGCCTTTATGAATGGATGCACTGTGTTTCTGGAACAGTGTGCAAAGAACACAGTTCTGATTACTGGTTTCAACAGAGTAACAGTAAAACTGATTGAAGTGTAAGGTTTACCTCTATTCATGTGACCCAAACAAATAAATAATCCACAGGTGTTCAGCTTTGTCCGATCATGCTCTATACAAATACAAAAACACTTCACATTGTTAAAAAGAGTAGATTAAAAGGCTGAAAATGCAAACAACTTCTAAGACTGAACTTTGGTGGTGTAGAAAAATATCCCTGCAGATTTCTTTGAAAAACTGAAAGAAAGTCTGCTGAAAAGAATGCAAGCCCTAATAAAGGCAAAGAGTGGACACACTAAATACTGAAAAAATATATATTATATTCAGTTGTTAAGGATTCTGTGTCATTTTCTCTTAAATCTGCTTTTTTTCCTCTACTTAAGTGCCGTTTTTGACCAAATACTGATTACATAAAAAGTGGTATCTGACTTTTGCACAATACTGTATGTATATACATTATGTGACTGTATGTATATACATTATGTGCTTTATTGAAACACCACTATTTTTTCACCTGGTTTATTTATTTATTTTTATCCTGAAAAGTGATTTGTAATTCATGGTCATTCATTTCACACCATCGAGTCAAATGATGAATTTACAGAGCACGTTTCTTGGGTTCTTTCCACATGACTGGCTGTGAGTGTGTGCGAGTGTGTGTGTTATGAGGGTTGGCGGTTGTTGGAAGGGTTGTGAGTGGAGTGGCAGTCTGGACGGCCAGTTTCCTGCTGCTGCCCGCCTGGCTGGGCCACCTGTTCTGATTCGTCGGCTCAGTTCTGCAGATCCGTGTGAGGTGACAGTAATGCTCGGAGAGGGGGGAAACACGCAGGTGTGCCTGCCGCAGAGCTCAATCAGTAATGTCTTCATTTAAATCAACCTACAATTATATACGAACATGGTGTATGAAGGACTGATGAAGTCTTCGTGTGGTGAACTTTGTTGGCTTAAAGGGAAATTCCACCCATTTTTTAAAATGTCTGCATAGTTTAAACACTGAGATGTAAACAAAGACAAACAGAGTGGTTGATGTGAAGTGATGCACTGCCGAGAAATCTAGTGACTCTGATGGTCTTTACAGTGGTGGTGATAGGAACCAGGGGTTGCGATGTCTACAACACACGCACACATATAGAAGTTTTCTTTGTGGACTATTTTGCCACACAGTGCCCTGCATCACCTCTCCATCAATGAATGGAATTCAAAAATACATTTTTGACCAAAAGCTTATCTTAAAACTATCGTAAAACTGGCAGCATGTTTATAACAATTTAATGTAATAACTGTTAGGGAGCCTTTTAAGGCATTAAACTCTTTAGAAGTCTGGTTCCTATCACCATCAATGATTCTAACTTGGTTACTTTCTCTAGAATGGAGCATTTCACATCAAACCACTCTGAATGATTTTGTTTATATCTTAATGGTTAAATTAATCAGAAATGTACAATGAAATAGCCCTGATGATTAATGACATCCTTTATCAATATAATGACATTACAATGCTTATAGAGTAAGTGTCTGTGTGTGAATTATGAGCTAGTTATGTACGTATTATAAATGTTTGATGAAGCCATTACTTAATGATCTTCAAATAACGTATTACCATAATGCTATATAGCAAACTGGCTCAGCCTCAGGGAAGGTTGCTTTTTTTGTTTTTATTTTTAGTTCAGAGCTAACCCAACATGTCTAGGTATCTAGGTGTACCTATATTTAGACAGCAGTGATATTTCCATATTCAGCAAATGTAATAGATCAAAAAGCTGTTTGTGAATGTACATACCAGGGGTGCTTCATCAGAATCAGCCAGGATGAGAATCAGCCTGTATTTTCTGCTCAACATGCAATTGGCAACCTGTCTATTTATTTGTATTTTATCTGATCTTTGTTGTGATTTTATGATAAAAACAATGTGAGTACATGTGTACTGCATTTGAATGCTGTTGCTATAACTCTGAATGCTTTGCCTGAAGTGCATACACATCAGATGCATCTGTCAGGCCTACCCACCAGCCTGTGTGTTTCATATCAGCCATACAATTCAAGATTGGAGTATATACAGGTGATTTGTGTTGTAGTTGCATCAAGTCCATCGCAATTCTGATTACACTGTCTTTGGGGTGGGGAAATGACCCTGCTTATGGCCCTCCAAAGGCCAGGGCAAGTCTTGACCATATATCCTTTGTAGGACCAAAATTACTATACATTACACCTGCTTTAAATGTTCAGGTATAAACAGGTTGAAAAATAAGATAACATTTTTCTCACATTATCGTTGAGTCTTTTGAATGCACATGAATACACTGAGCTCTGTCCTTGTGTTAAATGGCTCACAACATAAATTTCATACTTCCCCAAAACTCCACTTTCACAGACAGATGAATTACTTTTATAATGTAGTGAATAGAAATCTCATTACACTGTCTAGTAAAAACACCGCACTGTAATTTACTTCAAAGCTCTCTGAGTGTCTTGAATGATTTAGATAACATATTCTCTCATTATTTTCACGTACCAAGCTTAACAGCCCTCATGAACCTCCCTCTGAATGAGTTGTATTGGGGTGCTCAGCGCGGCATTGTTAGAGGGACAGAGGGAAGTCTATTGTCCCTGCCCACACTGAAAGGCCACCATGTCGCTCTAATTATCTTAACCATTTAGGGCGTGTTCTGACCTTTCAATAAAAACGTACTTTTGAAGTTCATTTTTGGATCCAATTAATGGAGCACTTGACTTGCCTATTATGCAGACGCACTCCTCAATCTGTAGCAGCGTTACTTCTTCCCTCTCATTCCTCTTCATGACACGCTGCCCGGAATACGATTTGGCGGTTTGCTAGGCCTACGTGTCATCTTCCAGTCCAGTTTTTATAAAATGATGTCAGAAAACATCTGCAGAGGCTTGTTCAAGAAACATAGCTGGGCATCAGTGATGAAATCATTCTCGTTTTTATTTTATTTTCACCTGTTCATATGTAGACTGGCAGTTTATGTCACAGGGATCCTGCATAAGAAGCCAACAAAAGAAGGGGTCACTATAGACGATATACTGCTATGTTAGGTCTGCTTACTTTTTACTGTGTTGGCATGAAACTTATCGCTAGAGTTGAGCAAGCAAACTCTAAAAGTGTCAAAAAAACGTTCTTTGGAGTGAAGCCATAGAAGAACCACTCTTGTTACCATAACCCTTTTACAAGTGCCCTAACATGCAATTTCTCTCTGTTCTGGAGCTCCATCAGTTAAACTATGCAGTTTTTCCTTCAATAGTGTTTTGATGATAGTGTGTATGAACCTGGAAGCAAACTAGATTGTTGTTTTTAAAGGTAAGCAAACAAGTCAATTTGGTGTTTTATTGTCTTTTAATATATTTTTTTATGTTGTCAGTTGCTCACAATTTTTTGATATCAAAAGCTGTAGCTGTGCTGCCATTTTATCTTGGCTCGGCTGTCGTTTGGAGAGGTGTGAATCATTTTCACATCGGGGGTTCTCACCGTTTTCCTTTCACCACTCGTTGCTCGCTAGCAGCTCATCACAGAATCACAATGTTTCAAACACAGAGAGATAACAGAGTCTTATTTCAGGTGATAACAGAATTAATTATTTTATTGATGTCAATCAAAAATACCTCAATTGATTTTCTTTCCTTAGCACAATTTTGAGTAGGGAGCCTGAAGAAAGAGGCTTGTTCTTTAAGCAAATTAAAGTCAAATCACCACGTCCCTGGTCATATTAAGCATTCATTACATCATAAAAGACAAAAATTTTGAAAATAATCTTTCAAGTAAAGACTTTTCACCTGCATCTAAAATGCCTTCTGAGTTTTAATTATGTCATTGTGCAGCAGCAGGTGAGAAAAAATAGTATTAACTGATGTCATGTTTACTAAATAATATCATGTATCATCACCTTCCCCTGACATCACCCCCACCTAGCATAGAAGTGCTCAGCTAGCTCAGAGACCCTCCCTGATACTTTGTTTCACTCAGACGCACAGTATGGAAGGAAAATGCCACATATATAATGATTCACATAGACTCTTTTGTACATGAAATTTGTGAGAACTTTTTAAAATTTAAAGAACTTCCAGAAATGTAATGGTTCTGTCGCATTCAAAGGTTTTTCGTTAAACCTTATGTCCAAGCCAGCATCCATTTAGGAACCTCTAAATGATGTATACATTCCAGTAAGCTGTGTGAGCGAATCACTGGCCTCTTACTGACCCCCTGTCCATAATCTTTCTAATGATGATTAAGATTCATTAAATACTCTGTTAGCCTATTACAGGCCGTTATCTGTCATCTCCTCATTTGGGCTGCAGACTGAGTGACGCTGCTGTTCATGTACATGCAAAACACTGCCTTTAGATATTCATCTACTGTAACAAGCTTAAGGGATTTACTCATAGAGGTTAAAGAAAACAAAATGTAAATTTGATTTTGAATATGTAAATATGATTTGTTTGCCTTTGATTTCCTGTCTCACTGATGCATGTTCCATTGTGTGTGTGTAAAAAACCCCCACACTGGTGCTGGGCTTCGGTCTCTCTTCCTCTGCAACACCTACACCGTTGCAGCAGAGTTTCCATTATACATTGTAGGGGGACAGAGTCTATTAAAAAAAGATGTATGTTGCCATGACACATGAGGCTCAGAACGATTGCAGGATGCCATTGCAGGGTATTGTATAAGCCAGGAAGGGACAGAGGGAGAGAGAGAGAGAGAGAATTTTGTGTAGCAAGTGAGTTGAACTACATTCTTGTCTGTAAACATATGCAGAAGGCCATCTAGGTGCAAATTGGTGGCATGAGAAGGAGGTCATTCAAGCTGTTTGTGCCTTTCCATACATGCGGCAAGGTGAACGTGCCATCTGGAGTTCGCAGATGTATATATAACAACAGCGGCTTGAACTGAGAAGGGATGACATCAGAAAAGTGACAAAAATCAGCCCTCTTGTATAACCGCCACCCTCTTTCCCATTCCCATTGGATTAATGTCATTGTCACTTAAAGGGCCCTTATCATGGAAAACCAAATTTACTCGCTCATATCTTGCCTTTCCTTGTATTGTGTTTTTATTAGGTCCACTTCTAACATTACTGTGGTTTGATGGTCATGATTTGTTTTTACATCACCATTTCCAACCTCTCTTAATCCCTTACACCCTTAAAATAATGGTTCTTCAAGGGTTCTTTAGTAAATAAATGGTTCTATATAGAACTATGAACAATAAAGGAACCCATTGCATGATTAAAGGGCTCTTTGCATCGCAAAGTTATTCTTGAGATTGATGGAGAATGTCCTGTAGATGGTTCTATATACCTTTTTTGAAAATGGTTCTATATAGCACTAAAAAGGTTTCTGTTATTGTTATGATGTTAAGCTTGTAACAACGGAAGAACTCTTTTTGGTGCTACATAGAACCTTGTTCAAAAAGGTTCTATATAGGACCATACAGCACATTCTCCATCAATCTGAAAAACAACTTCACGATGCAAAGGACCCTTTAATCATGCAAAGGGTTCCTTCAGTGTTCATGGCTCTATATAGAACCATTTTCTTTACCAAAGAACCATCAGTGTGTAAAATCAAGCAGGCAGATTTTATTACTCTGTTTTTAAGACTGATATGTGTAAATGAGCTCTGTGATGGTTGGTTGCTGTGTATTGTGCCTCTTTCAAAAAACACTCTGAAGCACTCCTCATAACCGAAGAGGCGGATATATGTAAATGAGTTGCTTCTTGTGACATCACAGAAACAATGAACTCAAAACAAGCTGTTTTTGCAGTTTATTTTCCATATATGGCCTGTATGGACTGGGGAGTGCACAGTACATATTGTACCGTTAATAATGTTTAAAAACTCCTTTATTTAAAAAAAACAAAGAAAATTTGTTTTCCCATGATAAAGGCCCTTTAAACTAAGGAGTTTTATTTAGTATCCAAACTCTGTTAACTAAGCTGCAAAAAACATCCCATTTGAGTTCATTGTTTTTGTGATGCCACGAAAACCAATTCATTTACATATATCCGCCTATCCAGCCTGCAGCATAGACTCCCCCCATTCACTCTAAAGTCATAAGAAGTGTTTCAGCCTTTTTGAATGAGGTACAATACAGGGCAATGAGGATAAAGAATAAAGGTCCAGTAACAAAAACAGCCTGTTTAATTCTAAGGGATAAAGAGAGGTTGGAAAATGGTCATGTGAACCCACACAAACATCATAATTGGGCCTCAAAGAAAAAATAAAAGAGGAGAAAAATACAGGCCTTTTAAGATGTTTTTTATACATACTTTAATGTAACTGGAGCACCCCCACTTCCACTCTGTTGGTTTGAACCCGCCACCCATTTTTATGCAGTTTGACCACTGACAATAACACAATATCACATTAAGAGTCAGTGTCGTTCACTAACGTCAGGCACAATCTTTTCTTTGTTGGTCCATCTGTGCCTCCAAATCATGTTTCATTAACATTCAGAGCTCCAATACAGTATGCAAATTTCTGATATTGCTTATGACAAGTCTTTATGACAAGGGCTTTCAGGACATTCGGTGACAGTCATTCTCAAAGTAGATTACGCTCATATTCAAAAATAGATTATCTTTCCTTTTATCCAGAATCATACTTTTCAATTAGTCTGGCAGCTGCTGTCATTTGAATGGCCAATTACGCTATTGTTCTGGAGGAGTGATATTGCAAATTTGAATTTGATATACTTTGGGCAATAACACAGATAGCTCCGTGTAGCATGGTGGAATAAACAGTTCTCGGAAAACAGATCTTGAAATGCTGGAGTCACAAATGCGCCTTCGCCAGGGCAAAAACACAAAAACAATTCACGGCCCGAAATTGGGCTGGAAAGCTGTGCCGTGTGATTCTCAGCTTACAAAGCTGATGACTTCACCTCAATGTCGACCCATCAGAGTCAGAAATAGGAGAAAAGATAGCGTACATCATTTGGCCAGATATTGCAGATAGGCACTCTTTCAACCAGCTAGTCATTTTCTTCGGCTCAGAACGAGAAACTCAAAATGGACAGACCTTGTCCTTGATGGTGAGCATTTCCTGCATGTGTATTCTTTCTGCAGAGCGAGTACTCGAGTGACTCGGAGAGTGAGGACAACTTCCTTATGATGCCGCCGCGAGACCACCTGGGCCTCAGCGTCTTCTCCATGCTGTGCTGCTTCTGGCCCCTCGGCATCGCCGCCTTCTACCTGTCTCACGAGGTAAAAAGCTCTCAACCACCTGCTCCTCGTAATCTAATTCACCCTCTCCAGTAATATCAAAGGGGTTATATGCTACTATATTGGTGGTACATGCCAGATTCCTCACTATTGGGACACTGCAGCATCTTTAAATCTTGTGAATATTTCATTCATTATCTTGATATGATTTCTTACCCATAACTCATTGAAACAAGCAGAGACATTCTGTTGAAAGTGCAGACTGTAACCTTTTAGTCAATACAGCATTTGTGTTTTTGAGGTGATATTTTTATTGTAATTTGATGAAAGGTTATTGTTTTGCAGGAAGAAAATCCATCCTTTATATTTTTGCCATGTTTTGTCTTTTTTTTTCTGTTAAAAAACAGAAACTGCAATGCAAAACTGCACATAAATGTAATACATTACGCAACTAACTACATGATTAATAGGGATGGATGATTAGTAGTGGGAGGTATACTGGTTCATCCGGTAAACCAATGCAATTCTTTCTCAAGTATGAGTTTGTCATAACCATTATGACACAAATAAGCACAGATAACATGACGTACAAATGGTGCAAACCATGCTAACGTTATCCCGTTTAGCTGAGTGGCTGAGTCAGGGATGTTTCAGTCGCGTGTCAAATAAAAACAGAAACACAACAGACCCTCAGTCCCCTCCCGCTGTCTAGCCTGCATCATTTTGTTTTTAAGGCAGTGGACATAAAGTAATGGCTGATCTTTTGGGGTTAGCCTTAGCCTAACATGGACACCAGACCACCTGCTGTGCTTCTGTTTTCTCTCATACCTCCTGAGAAGCTGCCTAATTTGGTTAGATGCATCAGATGGTGCCATGGTCAGGGCCTTATGCACAAAAGAAGCTGTGGACCAGTTGGTGCTGAAGCATGAATGACTGTAATATTTTCTTAATTCCAGCAGTGTCTGACAGTCGGAGGTATGAGTTTATGGGATGCACATTTGAGACAAATGACTTGAGGTATTAGACTAAGATGAAGCCTTGCTATTTGAATTTCCGTTCCACCTTAAAAGTCTTAAATGGTGCAGCAGTTACATTCAGGCACCTGTACAAGTGTCAGAATGTAACTGCTGCTCCATTTAAGGTGGAACAGGAAATTGGAACAAAAATCTGAAACAACATTTAGCACTGTTTTTGGTAGGCCCACAGTGCTAGTGAAAGCAATACTGACATAGGTTAATCTATATTTTGTTCATTTTTTTATTTTACTATTATATATTTTTTATTTTACTATTATGCATAACAAATGTAGTTCTGATTTACTTTGGTTGTTAAAACCCCAAAAAGTAGGTTTATTTAAGCTTCAAACATGGTTCTATCTAAAAAAATTATATACTGTGATACATAACGAAACTCTAAGAAATTTTAATTTACCGTGATATGATTATGTGGTCATACAGTCCAGTGTCAATAGACGCTAATATTTAAATCATATCAGTACTTGCAGATAACTTTTAAAATAAAAGTAACACTTTATTTGTAGTGGTTCTTTGTAGATGATTAATAAACTCTTAACAGAGTATCAGTAACATATCAGTGAAGTAACAGTAGTGCAGCATCTGGATACACTGAGGTAAATATCTTGCAGATGTTCTGTTTATACATTACTCACATTAAGTAGATGTGTTGTCGATATGTTACATGAAGTAGACTTTATATGTTACTTCCATTTAAGCAAAACCTCACCCAAACCCTGGCCCTAACCCTAACCCTAACCTAAACCTCAACCCAAAGCCTAATCCTAACCCTCACCCTGGCACTAATCCTAATCCAAACTCTGGCCCTAATCCTAAACCTAACCTAAATCTCAACCCAAAACATAATCCAGTGAAACTCCAGTTACAGAATGGTGTGTCTATAACTTGTTGAGGATGTTAATTGTCTGTATGAGATCAGTTACATGTTCAGTTCCTCTCAGGTTAACATCCACAAATATGAACTTGGACACCAAATAAATAGAAAAACAACTGAATTCAACAGATTTTAAACAAACTTTATTTACACAGTTACTGAATGTATTCACTGCTGCTACATCACTGATATGTTACGGAGAGTCTGTTGAGTGTTTATTTTACCTGAAAAGGACCACTCAAAATAAAGTGTCACTAAATAAAATAATCAGCATCAAACAGATGTTTAGATTTGAAAGATATTTCAAAGCAATATTTGATGACATATATATTGTACTATGAAAGAGCAGAATGTTTTGGTGACTGTGGGCTAGAAGTTTTAATTCATTTTACTGCCTTTGTAACCCTACAGAAATGAATGGTACATTTCTCTCTCTGTAATGCTAATACAGATAGATTTAGTCCTAATTTCTAAATTTTATAAATGTTTATGTATCAGCATTGGTTTCTGCAGATATATGCATTAAAAATATGAGTATTGGTTCATCTCTAATAATTAGTGATTTCATTACACATAAATAATGATGTGAAGCAATTATACAGCAAAACAACAGTGATAAGATTTTTAATGCTTAATTTAGAAGCAGTGGCCGCAAACATGGAATCCTTAGAGAATCTTGTGTGTTCCTGTAATTGCATGCAGATAAATGCATGCGTCATGGCTTTGAGAAGTTTGAGCAGTCAGTGCGGCTTGCACTTACAGGGAAAAGACGATAACTCCATCCCAGGATGACTGTGTGACAATAACGGCAGACAAAAGTGCATCAGCGCACCATCACTGTCGCACTCTTAAACGCTGCAGGGCTCGAGAAGCGTAGGGAATTTCACAGACACATTACGCCATTCAATAAAGGCGACTACTGTGTGCTGCTGAGCCGAATGAGTTTTTGGTCCTCTGTGTTGGACTCTCGAGTGCAGAATGAAATTGCAAAAACCCCACAAAGAGAGAAGAAGGGGTTATTTGCCTCGCAAGAAGACTGCACACAGCAGAAGCACGAAAAAAAATCATATTATAATTTTACATTTTATAAATTCTGCTGCTGCTTTTAAAGTGATTTTTCAGTGAAAATTAAATGTACAGAAAATTCCCCTTACTATATTTGATTAGTTGGTATACACATTTTATTTGCTTGTCTCCAGACGTAGGGAGTAATTAGCTCCATTTACTCAGTCACATACATTAGAATCAGGCCTTCTTGGCCAGGTATGAGTTCTACCACACATATAAAGTAACACAGACATCCATAGACTCAAGTAATAATTTGATGGGTTTGTAGTTGCCTTAATATTTTGAAATAACATCAGTTTTACTTCTACTCAAGTAGATCAGTGAGAAACATAATCTACTTTTTACTTAATTCCATTTGGTTCCTAATTTTCTTGTTTGGGTTTAATTTCATTGTTGTGTTGGTTCACCTACTGGACTGCTTTACTGTTGCTCACTCCTCTTTGGAGCTTCAGCATTTTATTCAAACCAAAAGGATCCAAAAAGAAAAGAACAGCATCTTACAAACTTCTGATTCTGAGTCATTCCACAAGATCAGTGTCAAATGAACATGCTCATAACACATTTTATGTCAAACACACCTTTTTGTCCACCATAGTTTCAATTACATATGTATCGTACTAGAAAAATAGATTTTCCCACCTCAGTAAGCATTTTAATTTTTAGTGCCAAACAACACAGAGAAGTGACAGGGTGGAATATTTGATGCTCTCTTCCATTATATTTCATCATATTGCCTAAAAACAAATAAATTAGGAATATAGTGTATGGTGCAAGATTCATATACATACACTACTGTACAAAAAAGACCATCCTTCATTTATTAAATACAATCTATTCATTTTTCAGTACATGTTTCTGGAGACTCAATATAAGATAATCCACTTGCATATAAAAGGGGAAAGTCAAGTAAACATAAACACAAGACCATCAAAACTGCCCCCATCAGATAAACAGCACTTAAAGCTTTCATCTTTGAGAGAGAGAAGAAAATCAAGCTGCTCCAGATCTGAAAACATCCACAGGTGTTCCTGTCCATCTTTCCACTGTGAGAAGACAACTCAGCGCTATGGGTCTGAAAGGATGTGTAGCTGTCAAGAAGAACCTCACTGAGAAAAGGAGACGGACACATCAAACAAAGAAGCTGAACAATGGACTGACCACCCCAGAGTCCAGAGGGATTACTTGGATCATGAGAAGCAGAAAATTTAACCAGCTTCTAAGACTGAACTTTGGAGGTGAGGAAAAATATCCAAACAACAAAAAACAAAAACAAAAAACAAAACAACAAAACAAAAAAACAAAACAAAAGCAAGTGTCTCAAAAAGAATGGAAGCTGTAATAAAGGCAAAAGGTCACACTAAATATGGAAATGCTGAAAAAATGTATGTGACTGAGTATTGGAGGCTTCTGCTCTTTTTCCTGTCGCTGGAAAATGAATAACTTGTACCTAAAGGCTGTATTGACTGGAAATTAAATAAATAAAGAGTGGTCTTTAACTTCTGCACAGTACATGTAAAGAAACCGTAAACTTTGTTTCAAGTGCCCACCATGTAAACTGTTCAGCTGAAAGGCAAGAAAAGTTTATTTATATAGCACCTTCCATACACTGCTGTCAATCAAAGTGCTTTACAAATGAGAAAATACGGTCAGAAAATACAGAGCTGTTTGAAAAATAGTAAAGTGATGTGATATAAAATAATATAGGTATGAATTCTGTAACTCATACATACAATTCAGTAACTGAAAACACTCAAAATTTAATTTTAAGGATGAAAGGATGTTTATTTTGCAAAAAAGCCCAGATGGCAGATAGCTGTCAAATGCCAAACTCACGTTAAGTTGTGCTCAGTCAAAAATGTCACTAGTTACTAGTTGGTGACTGCATTTGTATGTGACTCTATTACTAAGTTTTCATTACGGTAGATTGGCCTGACTTTTTGACTAGCCTACTACTCTCTCTGTCTCACACACACACACACACACACTCTGCTCTCTGTCATTCTGCACATCACGACTTAACACCTACAGCTCTCTAATTCTCCATCTGAAAGGAAAGAAAAAAGCTC